TGGGCTAAAACATTCATATTAATAAATATATATATTTCATATTACGTTAAACAGGTCTTAGGCAAAAGATATTTTTCCAAGATTACATAATTAGAATTGTTATTGTTTGTTATTGGTAATATAGATTCAAATATATTGTATCCAGAATGCGGGTTTTTTTTCATTTAATTAATAATTCCGAATTCAAACCGTCAAAATTCTAAAAAAGCTGAACTAACAAAGCAAAACCAGCGTCCGCAAAGACCAAATATGCTGTAAAGGTTGCCAATACCAAAATAAGTATACATTAGTGTTTTTTTAGTATGAAAAAATTAAAGACCAAAAGGCAACGCAACCATTTTGATACGTTTTTGCGGCTGGTAAAAACGTTGGCGGGATGTATATGCATACATATGCAATATGTATATCTACATCTACATCTAGACGTAGATGTAGATGTATAATATATAATCTTGTATAATGTACAATGTATAATGTATGATGCATGATCTATAATTTATGATATATAATGTATGATGTATCATGTATAATGGTATATAATGTAAAATGCATAATGCATAATGTATAATATATAATGTGTAACATATACCACATAACCTAAAAGGTATCATGTATAACATATAATACATAACATATAATGTATAATGTATATTTGTTGAACAATTCACGAGAAATCCGAAATTGATTGACTCAATCTTCAGAGGCATCTCGACCTGGAAAGCCGAAACATCAAACCTTGCATAAGAAGCATCACGACTTAGACGAGGTTGTAATTGGTATCAAATGCTCTTCTCTCCTGGCCCTGCAATTGTGTGTGCAGCTTCCCTGCCTGATCGGCGCTGCAATGTGCCCGTGTCGCTGACCTCTGTCATGGCGCTTTCGCTAGGCCTGAGCTCTTGGTGAAGAGAACCACTCAGACCGAGGCATATGATAGGACCGGACAGAGAGCACCCCCAATATCACTAGTCATCTCGATGGAGTGGAGATCAAGGTCCAAACACCGCGGCTTGACGATACAGAATACCCGGACGAAATTGGCGCTCATCCTTGGTGCAGACTGTGGAAAGAGGCAAATTGAAATGGGGCGCCATTTAAAGGTTTCATAGTGGGTCAATGTGGGTCAGGCAAAAGTTCATGACAGGCCTCAAAGAAAAAAACTGCTTTACTTCTAAAGATTGCCCTGCCAAATCAAGATCATCTACACGCCATCTCCACAGTTTGGAGCCTCGCGTTGATGACATCCGGGTGTAGCCGAGGGGCCACTTTGGACTTGGGCTTGGAGATATCTAGCAAGAGTTCTGGACTTCGGTAGATACCTTGATGCCGGGTCAAGTGAGGTGTGAATGTGAATGCGCGAAAAATGCTAACATTTAAAAGGGCATTCGCCTCAAACAATTCCTTTGCAGTCTATTCGATTTTGTGCAATTGGAGCAGGAGCAGGTAAGTTTCTTAGATTCTTTTGGACCATGAGACTGACCATCTTATGATATGCCATGCCACAAGATTCCCCAGGGTATAAGAAACCTTCCCGTAAGACCACTCCATTCGCACGAAGCTCTGCGAACCCAACAATACCATGGTCCCATCAAAGAAAATCGCTGCTTGCAGGCCAGGTGGGTATCCTAGTTGTAATGGCCATTGCACAAACTGAATCAAATGAAAGGATACGAATCAGCTCGTAGTAGAACCTGGGCAGAACAGGAAATGACATCCTCTAAGTCTGCCCTGCTAGCTGCTTAGCCTGTTGAATCAACGAGTGCCGGAGTTGTATAAAGGTCTGAGGCATCCAAGATTTCACAAGGTTCTGCTCGGAGAGTTGTGATAGTTTGCCTTGTTTAGCCTTCTCACTTGCAGCAAAACATCGATTGTGCAATGATTATTGGCTGTTTATCCATACGATACAGTATGGAGAAAAAACATGCATTCAGGAAAATTGCCAGAGAGGTCCAAAGGTAAAGAGGTAGCCAGCGACAGTGAAGAATCTCGGCCATCTCATACATCTAAACTGGCAGGTCCTTTCAGTGTGCTCTACAGTACCATGCAAAACAACACCTCCTCTTTAACATGCTGGCAGGTTAGATGCCTTCCTGGAGACCTACTGTACCGCTTAAAATATTGGCTTGATGAAGATTCACCATTCGAGCGGCCCATACTCGCTCTCCAAATCTCCAGTAATGCGAGCGATGTAGATCCCACTGCACAAATCCTGCCATGCACTGGCAAATCAGTGGCAAATGTGACAGTGAGTAGAGAATTCCCTGCAGAGATTGCCGTGTACAACTCTGAGAGTGCAGCAGGTTTCATTGCTGTCCAATAACTGATCGAAGGAAGTTTAGAAGTCAAACTTCCGACATTATGGACAGATGAAAAGCAGAGATGGGAAGAGGCGGCGAAGAGAAGAGAAGAAGAAAGAAGATCAAAAAAGAGAACGTCTCAGAAGAAAGAAGGCCCAGCTGCGCGAAAAGGTAAGAAATTCGCCAAAAAGTGTGTTTTTTCAATGATTTGCGGCTCCGGAGGGTCGAAAAGTAGGCTCGCTAAAGCGGCGGGTGCGGAGCCCGCTGGGCAGATGAGAGATGAAAAATTTGCACGCCGTTGTGGCGCGAAGTGCATTTCGAAGTCAAAATGTACAAAACACCAGGTCCGGACCACTTTTTGGAAGTTGAGATGTCGAAAAAGTGCGCGCCGTTGTGGCGCGAAGCACATTTTGAAGTCAAAATGTACAAAACACCAGGTCCGGACCACTTTTGGAAGTTGAGATGTCGAAACAGTGCACGCCGTTGTGGCGCGAAGCACATTTCGATGTCAAAAGTGCAAAAAACATTCGGAGATATTCGGAGCACTTTTGGACAAGCAGATGTTGTTTTGCGTGGCAAGCGCAAGGGATTGTGCACGTTGTCAAAAATGAGCGAAACGTGAAGGTTTTGTAGCATTTCCAAAAACGATGGCAGGCGTGGGGCATTTGAAGAGGATCTGCAAAGATGCATTTTCCGTGGCAGGCGCAGTACAAGAGACATGTTCATCAGAGCTGTTACGAGGTCCGGGTGCTGATTTCCTGAGAGGGGTTGCATTTTGGAGCATCAGATCTTCAGGTGCAGCACTTCGTATGACCTGGCATCACTTTTTCGTGCTAGGCGCAGTAGTTTAGACAGATGGAATGGAAGAATCACAAAACGCATTGGTACGAGGCTGTCAGCTCTGCACTCAACTTTCCATTTTTGAAGGAAGTCTCGCAGAATTGCTTCGTTTTTGATGTTGTCAACTTTGAAAAATGAGGAAGTCTCGCTGAATTGCTTCGTTTTTGACGTTGTCAAGTTCAAACATTGAGGAAGTCTCGCAGAATTGCTTCGTTTTGGATGTTGTCAAGTTCAAAACCTGAGGACATCTCGCAGAAAAGCTTCGTTTTCAAGCTTGCAGATAGACAGATAGATTGACAGACAGACAGATAGATAGGTTGATAGATTGATAGATAAGTAATTTGATGAAAGAAAGAGAGAAAGAGAGAGAGAGAGAGAGATAGACAGACAGACAGACAGACAGACAGACAGACAGACAGACAGACAGACAGATAGACAATTACAACTACAACGACTACAACACCACTACACTACACGACGCTACTGCTGCAACTACAAATGCCAATATACTACGCTACATTACACTACACTAATTACACTACACTAATTACACTACACTACACTAATTACATCTAATTACACTACACTACACCAACTGCACTAACAACTACAACAACAACTACCACAACTACAATTACGATTGCAACTACACTAATTACACTACACTAATTACTGCCGCACACTACAACTACAAACACAACTACAACTACAACCACACTACATTACACAACACTACACTACACTGATTACATTGCATTACTCTACAAACTACAAACTACAGCTGCAGCTGCAACTACAACTACATTACACTACGCTACACTACACTACATTACACTACACTACACGAATTATGCTGCAACTACAACTACAACTACACTGCACTGCACTACAACTACAACTACACTACACTAGACTACACAACGCTATACCACACTACACTACACAACACTACACGACATTACGCTGCATTACACTACACTAATTACAGCACACCACGACTACAACTGCAACTGCGCCTGCAAATGCACTAATTACATTACATTACAGCTACAGCTCCACTACACTACAACTACAGCTACAACTGCAACTACAACTGCACTACACCACACTACATCCAGCAGTTGTGGTAAGGTGACCACAGCAACCATTGCAACCATTCCAAAAAACACAGCTCCGACTCCAACCACCTGTCGGTCCATCAGCGGATTCGCTTTGCCATCCGTGATTCACAACCAACCTCTTCTATAGGTTTCCTATTTTTGAAACTTCTGCCACCGCCTTTTGCGGCACTGATATTGATATCTGCTGATCTTTATTGGGGAACCCATGGGTCACCACTGAGGCCGGCAACGGCCTGCAGTAGTTCGGTGTCATTCATCTCTTCATAGATGACACGCTGGGAGGAATCCTGGAAGACAAGGCCTCGGGAGAGGTTGAAGGCGGACGCACCGGCGGGTGATGTGATTACTGTACAAATTGTATGATGTATGCTGTACTTCTGGAGAGTCCAACATACCCACTATTGTTTTCATCTTTCAGCTTAGCTGTGTTCTTGCTTTTGAGTGCTTTTGGTCTGCCGTTTTCTGAATCTTCGGACAGCGTTTCATACAGCATCTCCTTGAAAAAGAAAAGCAGCAAAGGCCACCCTCTTTGATGAGAGATTGGCCTTGTGTGCAGCATGAGTTTTTAAAACATGTCATGCCGAGATGCGCAGGAAGCGTCCAATGGTGTAAACAACACCTGGTCACCGCAACGGATCGAAGTTGAACCATGGTGATAGATCTTCAGAAAAAATGGCATTAGCATTCGTCTTCCAGTAAAAACCTTCAGTAATTTATGTCTGTAGATGGGACGTCCCTACTTTCTTCACCAAGCTCCAAATACATCGCTTACAGTGGGCAGAGAGAGATATCATAATGTCTTGTCCAATTGATCTGCAATCTTTTTGACAAAAAGTATGTTGGATGATGCTACTGGTCACATCAAAATGGAAAGCATCCCACCATGCCCAGGCCTAAGTAGATTCCCATGAGGCTATAGCTCGTGGATGAGCTATCACCCGTGGGAGTAGGAGCAACCTCCGCTCCGTTGAGACCCGGGGGATTGCTGCTGCATGCATATTAAATAAACAAAAAGCACTATCCAAAAGATAGAACAGTTGGACACGTGGAATTATGGGACAACTATCTATACCATCCTGAAAATATCTTTTTGGGGCTACTCTCTCTCTCTCTCTATCTATCTAATAAGCAATCAGTCTATCTATAGTAGGTATAGGCATTAGGTATTAGGTATAAGGTATTTGGTATAGGTATGACGTATACTGTACGTATACTGATATGTATATGTAATGTATATGTATATGTACATGTATATAGATGTATATAGATGTATATGGATGTATATATATATATATATAGATTTATATAGATGTATATAGATGAATAATGTATGTATGATTAAAATTGTACATGTGACTTACCCACATATTGGATATCAAGAAAAGTGCCATATTCCCCTTGCCTTCTCACTAGCCACGTCAAAGGTGATGCTGCAGCTACTATTGCCAGCCTCAACGTGAGATCCGTCTCTGGCTAAGAATTTTGATGCAAAATGGGGGATCCCCAGTCGTCACCATAGGCTAACCCAAAACAAGAGTAAAATGGTCATCCATGACTGGATGATTTGGGGTAGCCCACTTTAGGAAACCTCATGCTAACCAAATATCAAACTTCCCAGCTGAAGCATCATCCAACCCCAAGGGCGACCATCTCTAAAAACTCCATCTGGACTCTTTTTTGGGAAAATCTCTGGTCTCTTGACCCAACATCCAATTTTTCCACAGATTCGTGAGGTAGAATCCCCCTGGAGGCTCCTCTAGCGATGAACAAGGGTTGCAACTTCCCGCCTCGGTGGCAGATGGGATTTTTTACCATCAAGAAATGGGGGATTTCCATAAGATTTGGATGTTTCTGGAACTGGGGGATACGAGTGCCAACAAAAAATGCAATTGTAATGGAACCTCTGATCATCAATGATATTTTTATTGATATTTTTTGGGCACTTACTTTCAGACCAACCCAAAAATCTGGTCAAGAGACCACTATGTCTGCGTTTGGAAGTGAAGTGAATACTAACCGCTGCATCCACAAAAATTTGCATCCACAAATGTTTGAGTTGGCATGCTGTAGGTTCTTTCTTCTCAGAAGGACCAGAGTGTGACCCTGGTTGACTAGCTGACCTACTCTGAGCTGCTCTGCCCTTGGGGCTATTTGCGTCGAATTGAAGATAGTCGTGCTACCTTAAAATGATCAAAGTATGTTAAAATAATAGGACTATAAATATGTGTATATATATAATTATATATAAATATATACACATCCTTGATAAGTACTGCACATATTGTAAATAGAAGCTGAAAGACTGTTTGACCAATTAGCTCGCAAGGAATTAAATTCCCATCACAATCACACACGAAAGCTGGACATCGAATTGCTGGGAATTCGCAGCCATTGACCACTGCGGCAAGGGTGAAGAGGCAGAGAGTGTAAGACCTAAGTTGCAAATAACCACATTTGGAATGTCTTGAATCCGATCATTTGGGGTTGTCTGAAAATGGGGTATGCCCCCACATGACATTTTTTGTTGGAAAAATGATGATACACTCTGATACACCCTAAAACTTCGAGGATACCCCATGTTCAAACAAACTCATTTTAAGCCATTTGCATACAGTTTGTCACAATTCCCCTAGGTGAAAACTGTGGCACAATTCCCCCACCTGAACCTGATTCACAATCTGTCATGCGCTTTTTCTTGGGGCTGCAAGCATAAATTATGGTTATCCTCTGTGTGATATATGCTGAAGTTGACAGGAACCGTTGTAGTAAGATTTCATGTTTTGAATTCTTGCAATGCTTTGCACGTGATTTATCACATCTTCGACTTTATGTGGGCTCACTATGATACACTGATGAATCATTTGTTTAGGTTTTCGAGGTAAGGCTTTCGGGGCAGAATCCTTAGGGGTACACACCACACGCCATTCAGGCACAAGCTATGGTCCATCCTCGCCGAATTGGTATACTTGGTTTGTTGATAATCTGTCCGGTGATTCTGATTCTATGAATATGTGTGAAGTATATGGAATGACAATGAATGACATGGGTGTTCCGGATACACCAACACTTTCCCGGATCCCTGTTCGAAATATTTCAAATAACAAATTTGGGATGACTTTTTGGGCTCCTATGATTTTGATGGATCCACCCAGCTCCTGTCGCAGTGCCCGTCTCTTACGCGGTGGAGCAGCGTAAGGAAATGTTTGCACCCATCGCCGTCAACTGTCAAATGTACGCGGTTCGACACTCTGAGAATTTCAAGATGGGTCTTGAACAAATTACCCCGCGACTGTGCCGGGATTGATGATTTTTGGTGAGATTAGTGAATCCGCTCATTGGATTTCAGCTTTGATACTAGGACAAATTATATAGGAAACACAAATCAATATCCTGCAAGCAAAAGCATGAGAATCTCGCAATTGAGAAGGTGTCTTCAGCATCAACCTGCCTGTCCGGAGGAGTCAATGAGAATAGCCGTCTGGATGCTACAAGGCACATCAATGCTGGCTTCACCTTGGGCTGGCGGAAACATAGCCATAGCCATACCCTTTGCCAAACGAAAACCAGCCCTGGAATGATTTCAATGGAACCTCTTCCAAAAACCGAATGGTTCCATGCATGTCTGTAGCCGATACGGATCAAGACCTTTGGGTGAACAAACTCTTTGGATCCAGACCTATCAGCATGTTTTATCCACTGCATTCTTGACGAATGTATGAGAAGCGTTGAAGCATCGAAAGGGCTGCTTCACTTTTCAATACCTGGTGTTGACGAACTCGAAGAAAGAAAGGTATCATTTCAGATATACATGTGCTCATGATTGCTCATGTGCGTATGTACAGTATATCCTTGGCTTACTTGATCGCACGCCGGGACGGCTTCATTTTATTTCATTTTCAACCTCCATGCACGTCATTCTTACCGCCCCCAGCCTTCAAAGGAGGTGTTCTGCAGTACCTTTGCCAATGTGTTTACCTGCCATTCCATCTCAAGGATGAGCAAACACGAAATATACACATTGGCAAGTATGTACGTATGTATATATATATATATATCAATATGTATATATATATATGTATATATATATGTGTATATATATATATGTATATATATATATATGTATATATATATATGTATATGTATATATATATATGTATTTATATATGTATAAATATATGTGTATATATATATATATGTATATATGTATATACATATATATATATATATACATATTATGTATATAATATATAAATATAAATATATTATGTATATATATATATATGTATATACTATAGATACATAATTATACATATATTACACACACACACCTTATATATACAATACATACAGTATCATATCATATATACATATTGTTGCCTTGCAACGCATTGCACAACCGTTAAATACATACACACAATATCACAGTAGTATTACATACTTATTTATCTCGCACTGCAACACCTGACCTGGTCCTCGCTGAGTGCCACTGGAGGTGTACGACCGATGCCACGACCCGTCGTAGTCAGATTTCCTGCAGTTGTCTTGCAGAAACAATGACACGACCGGCCTTTCCAAGAAGATTTGGTGTTTTTAGTGTTGCCAAACCAGTGTGTCTATTATATATATATATAATTGTATATAATATAATTATATATAATATAACTATAGATAATAAAATTATATATATATAATAATTAAAAATAAAACTATATATATAATATCATATTATTATAAATAATCGCATATATATATAAATCACTACATATCTATATCTATGTCATTCCATCTGTTTTGCCCAGTCATGAACAGTCCTGTTTCATTTGAAAAAGAACATGGCGAACAGTTCTACCGTGCCTTGGAATTGATACGTCACCACCAGGTTGGCTTTGGTACCATTACTACCTGGAGCTGTCGGCAAACCAATGGCAGATGAAGCCGCCCCATCATGCATCTAAAAAAGGAAAACCTATCATCTCCATTTTCCAATCATTTCCAATCCTAAAGATTGTATATCAGAAATAACATATGATGTCTTTGTTGCTCATGACTCATATCATCACCAAATATCACCAAAAAATCTGATGGCAATGGATGCTGTTTACGGCCGGGAACCTCTTCAGACGCTGGTGAAGCCGTGCTACCAAGCTGTGTGGCCACTTTTTGTCGTAGGGAGTTGGAAACCAGCCACAGGTTATCCGCGGACATTGGGAATTTCACTTTCCTCACAGCACATCACAGCACTGTCACGCTGCTCTGAAGGTTTTCTGATAGTCTCGCAGCAAGAATCTCAAGATTGAGAACAATAGCTTGTGAACATGTTTGATGTTGAAGGGTTCGAATGGCGAGCAACAGCCAGTTTGAGCGGCTGTGATGGCCAATGATTCTGAAGGTGTATGTCATGTTGTCTTATTGTACGTAGGTGGGGGAAGGTAGGTAGGTAGGCGGGTGGGTAGGTAGGTAGGTAGGTATGTATGTATATTCTATATAATATACACATCTATAACATGTCACATCTATACTACTAGTATCTGCACTATATATAATATATTATGATATACTATGAAAAATTGAAGGTATCATATATATATATATGTAAGTTTATATTATATTAGTATATAATATACCTGCCGCCTCCAGCGGGCAGAAATTTAGGCCTGAAACCAAATAGTAGCCTTTTTGGGACTCGGGCTACTTTTTAGCCTGAGCATCAATTCAGGCGAGATTGTCCATTCAGGCTGGAATTGCCAGTTTTGGCTCAATGTGTGAGTTCTTGTTTTGAGAGCTATTTTTGTGTTTTGGTGTTCACCAATTCAGGCGGGAATACCCGGGAATCAGGCGGGAATACCCGGGAATCAGGCGAGAATTGGCGAGGAAACGATTTTGAGCAGTTTAGGGAACAAAAATCTTGAGCAAAAATGTAGAACACCCTTTCAGGCAGGAATTTAGATTCAGGCGAGAATTCCAGGGTCAGGCAGAAAAAGAAGCCTAAACACATTCAGGCTCAAATTCTAGCCTGAGGTTGCTCTAGGTATATATATATATATACACGTGTATTATATATATATTATTATTATATATATATATTACACTCACTGACAACAGCCATCGGGCCAAATTCACCTCATGGCCAAGCATCTGCAAATTCAGGTCGTCAGAGTTCCCCACATTGGGATGGCTCACAGCAAAACGCTTTGCATCATCACCTCAGCCAAAACGGCTGGAAACGGCTGGAGCCTTCTGATTTTGGGAAACTCCAAGGTGAAACAAACTTGGGACTGGAATTCTGATGTCAGGATGTTTCAGGACTGAATAAGAGAGAGAGAGAGAGAAAACACATCAGAACTTTTTAGAGACTATTTGGAGCTTTCAGTGACGTCGCCAATGTTGGTACTAGTAAACAAGTAGCTCTGTTTGGTAACCTAGTTCTGTGCAGTATCAGCCAGTATCAGCATGTATCAGCTGGGTTCATCCCCACCTTTGCTGAGGACAGCGCTACTCAATGTGTCGATATCTGCCTGCGCCGTGTCGTACAATGGCAGCTGGCTGATCCCTCCACCTGTCATCTCCACCTGGCGATCGCCAATGGAGCTACAAGGCCAACTACAATTGACCTATGACGCACTTGTGATGAACCTATGATGGATCTAGTATGGACCTATTGGACCTACAATCGACCTATACTGTATCGACCTATGATGGACCTATGTTCACCTTCATCTTGTGCTTGCAGTGCATGGAAGGATAGAAAGGTGCGAAAGTTGACAGCGCAAAGTCCAAACAAGAGGCTTGCTGCCTCCAGATTCGCTTTAAGCGAGCCCATGTAGACCAAGTTGCTCTTCAGAAACCTGAGAAAACCAGCAAAACATGCAAAGATTTCATTTGGGATGAAACTTACCACAATTTGGCCACTCCACATCCGGAAAGAAACCCAAAAAAAACTGGAAATCAACATGTAACTTGATATTTCAATTCTGCTGCACGCCAATTATGAATCTATGGCATGCCAGGTACTTGATGGTACAAGTACTGGCTTGTGATGCCCATTTCTTATCCTTCCCTCTTCAAAGCTGTTTGGAGTGGACTGCTATCCTTGCTCAAAATCTGCTCCAGGCTACAAGTTGGCTGTAGAGAAGTAGGTGATCGGGCCAACAATCAGCACAAACCTTAGCTGCAGTCACCACTGGCACCACTCCACACAGCCATGGCGGCCCTGTTGCGAGCTTTGTTGCCAAGGGGCAAAGCAAGAAGGAACAAACCACCTTGAAGAAGTTTCTCTCTCACTGGTCGCTCGAAAGCGGGCTTCACCTTGAAAGCTCATTGATTCCACAGCATGTGCAGCACTTATATCTTCCGGTGCACTCACAAGCGCTTCAGGACACACTTTCCATTAAGCGCATTCCAGCCATACTACGGAAAGCCGCAAAACATATGAAAGCAGAGAAGCAAGAATTCTATATCCTGTACATATAGGCAAACTGGCCGAATTCTTTTCAGCGCCAGGCAGCTGAAATCAAACAAGCAAAGGGACTCGAGGAAAAACTGATTGAGGGGAACTGTGGTCACATTTTGTCATAATAAAGCTAACAACTAAGAACGAGTCAATCAGTTTGTTGCGGCCACAGCACGTATTTCCTGGCGTTCATGTCGCACTTCGTCTTGTAGAGACTTTGCTGAGCGTCCTGAATCGACACGGAAGGAACAACAGTGGGACAGGGATGTGGGTGCCAGCTCCTCCAGCTTGAACCACATGAAGAGATTCATGGAGGTACTTGTAACTGTCCAGTCAGTGAGTACCTCTGACCCCAAAAATCGCCCAGCTAAAACGCCGAAACGTTTGACGGGCACCGTGCAAAGGGAGGGGAAGGTATAGGGTATTAGGGGGCAGCAAATGGGATGTCACAAAATGCGGGATACACCAAAAGACAATTTAATCATGGTTAATCATTTAATGATATTTTATGGAGAACATTGGAGAACATGATCAGTGGAAACGGAAACAGTGGATTAGAGATTAGAGGATCTGTCACCGAGAGAGACAGTCAGGCAGTTTGGTGGATCACTCGCAGTTCGTCAACAAACGGCACCATGGTGTAAACCTGTCAAAGTTTGCACAATGACAATGAGGGTTGGAACAGGCTGAATGGGCCTGGCAGTGAGGTATACGTAGGCAAAAGAACAAGCATGATCAAGCCATTACAATTTCATGCACTATGCTACAACACTGTTCACAAATCAAGCCTCCTCTCTGTACCACGATGTAATACTTGTGCAAGTGGCTTCAACGGGGACAAGGCGGCTATCCATTTCTTTTCCGACCAGGCCTTGAACAACAGCCAGGGGACAAAGTCAACCTGGATCAGTTTGTTTCTGTGAATCCAACTCAAAATCAATGATGCCATCAATGCAATCGACACAAAGGAATGGAGCAACCGGGCCGAAAAAAAACAGATGCGTTACATCATTACATTAGAAGCTCGTCCCATAAAACGATATGAAACGCGCATTCAATAGCTGTCCAATCCCTGTCTGTTGCCCGATACCCGCTAAGGTTCCGAGTCTTTGCAGTTGTCCCTCAACTCTCGCGTTCATTCAAGGCACGCTGTGGGTAAGACCGAGGCCACCCCGAAGTAAATGGACCTCAAAGGAGGGTGATTTCACACATTCCAAAACATTCCATGGCCAAGGTCCACTCTCCCTCACCGCTCAAATCGTGTAGGGAAACCTAACTGAAATATGATGCTCGTGATTTGCTTCAACTCGGTGCCTGACATCGTATCTCAACTGCATCGAACTAAATACCAAATACAACCTCAGTCAGGAACATGGGATCTGTGTGATATCCTTTTGTAATGTAGTGCAACGCAATACAATTACTAGACATTACTAGACTATATAGCTATCGCAACAAAAGGACAGTAGACGTTCAATGTTAAATTCCCACACTATGAATGGCGGTTTTCGAAGGGAACTTCTACCAAATACTCCGAAACACCAAAGCCAAAGTGCCACCAGAAGACAGCAAATCCCTTTCATGCTATGGCGAAACGAAGGCTCTTCATTGTCTCTGTGTCCGAGGAAGTTCTGAGGCGACTGCACGTAGAGAAAGTAGAAACACACCAGCGTGAAGCTGTTAAACGTGGACACCTGGTGCATGGAACGGACTTCTCGAACACCAAGTTAGCTCGGGAGTGACACGATTTGGGTATGTCGAATGTATGAAATATATCTTGAACCACTCAATTCTTAGGACACTACTTGAGATGCAATCTATCTATCAATCCAACCCAATCCATAATCCTATCCAATCCTATCCAATCCTATCCAATCCTATCCTATTCTATCCAATCCAATCCTATCCTATCCATCTATATAATCTATCTAATCTATCTATCTATATCTATCTATATCTATCTATATCTATCTATATTTATCTATATCTATCTATATCTATCTATATCTATCTGTATCTATCTATATCTATCTATATCTATCTATATCTATCTGTATCTATCTATATCTATCTATATCTATCTATATCTATCTATATCTATCTATATCTATCTATATCTATCTATATCTATCTATATCTATCTATATCTATCTATATCTATCTATATCTATCTATATCTATCTATATCTATCTATATCTATCTTATGTATCTTATGTATCTCATCTATTTTATCTATCTCATCTATCTTATCTATCTTATCTATCTCATCTATCTTATCTATCTTATCTATCTTATCTATCCTATCTATCCTATCTATCCTATCTATCCTGTCTATCCTATCTATCCTATCTATCTGATCTATCTATCCATGCTACCTATCTAATTTAATCTAATCTAATCTTATCTTATCTAATCTATCTATACACATACATATTATACATACGTACATACGTTTGATTCTTTTTGGGCCAATGTCCCTTTCAGCTTTGTCAAATGTGGTCCCGTCCCAACCAAGGTGATTTGCACCAATCTAGAGGTGCCTCTTTTGCAGAGGGACTTGCTCTTTCGGCCTTGGCTCCGGCTCCGGTTGCAAGTCTTTTGGAAACAAGAAGGTTATGTAATGAACTTACCATGTGGTGGTTTCCACAATTGGGATCCCCAAAATGGTTGATTTATATATTGCACACATCCTACTAAAATGGATGATTTGGGGGTAGCTGCATTTTAGGAAGCCTCCATGTGATGAAATGACATGACTCTCATCAAATTGCCCATATTATATGGATGAATACCAATCCATTGGGATTGAAGGATTGCTTTTTCTTAACCCGAGATTTCCATCGATGTTGCTACGATTTGCACCTGATGTGCCATGCCAAGAAACCCAGGCATTGATCTGCACGGCGTGGAGCATCACCAGTTGCACCAAAAGGAGCAACAGCTGTAGCAACTGGGCACAGGCTGGGTACAGTGTATGATTTATGTGGAGATTTCCTAAAATGGGGGGTACCCCAAAATGGCTCGTTTATAATGGAAAATCCCATTAAAATGTATGATTTGGGGGTACCCCTATTTCAGGAAACCCCCATGTATCTATAGACATTCTGTGAAGAATTACACATCATGCATACACAGCCAACAATCAATGGGCTTATGATTCTATAAGGAAGATATCACCACTTTCGCCATAGAGTATGTTACACGGCCATACACGGCCACTCTATGCCGTTCGACTATTTCCAAAATCGTAAAGAAATGGTTACCCCCAAATGGGCTGGTTTTAAACTCACTCAACTAAACAAATCCGTCTGTCCTCGAGTATCAAATCGTGATCGCCATGTTTGGTACATCAATCCATCATGCATCGATCCTTAACCTGGAAGGAATTATGGATTTGCGGCATTGCTGGTGATCAGTGCTGCTTTGCGGTTTGAAGCCCGTGATGAACATCAATTTTATGTAATCTAATAGAATTCAATTAATATTTTAGTACAATTTAATATAATTACATGTACAACTCAACAGCAGTTATCAAGCAACAAATATCAAATGATCATGAAATAAATAATCCAGCCGCCCAAAACGCGCACCGCGGCATTCTTGGAACGTCGTGGCAAGACATCCTTGGCCCATTCTGGTGGCTTCCAACTGAACTGAGAATCAGACTGGATGCTGACTGGAGCAAATTCAGAATCCAGAACTATCGAATCAATCGAATCCATTCGAATCCCATCTTCGCAAAAGTAGACGGGGGCAAGATCCAAATACATCCAATCCATCCACAACTGGATCTTGCCTCAGGGCCTGATAAACCTCAGTCCAGTGACCGCAAAGTGCGCTGCTGTCAAAAGATTTCGAGAACAAGGGGTCTGCAGGATAGATTTGAGGCAATCAACAGTGGAGGGACCCAGTCAACCGGAAACTATTAAGGACAGGAGGTGAATGGTGCATGTTCCACATAACAGAACAAGCACAAAAACTGGCTGCAGCTCGATTGTAACAACTTTCAATTCCAACCCCCAATCTCCAAGCTCAATATCATATTTCCATACATTTCCCAAATGTTCCCAGCCTTCTGTAGTAACCCGATCTTGCGTGTACCAAGTATACAGCCTCACTGCGAAATGCAGACTTCAAACCTCCAAAATGCTCCTAGACTTCACTGTGAACAACTTGACCCCTGTGGTCTCCAAAGTACCAATAGCATCCAATAGCAGCAATCTTTATATGTCTGATTTGTGCCACTTCTCCCCCTTCTCCACTCTGCTACCTTCTTACCAATCTTAGGGAATCCCAGGATATCTCAACACAATCATCCTTGGATTTCCACAGCAGCTGCCCACTGAGTTCTTCAGCGCTCGATCAGCAATCATGGCTGCCATCACACCCATAATTGCAAAGACCTAAGCAAGATAAACAGTAAATGGACAAAGGGGGGCCTGTCAGCTGTGCACGGTTGGAGGGAAGACACAAGTGCTCAAACTGCTACACACGCCTCTCCTGTACAAAACAGGATGTTCTTTTTGGAAGCTTGAACTCTTCATCAGCTGAAAGGCACAAGGTTTTGCAAGATGTGGAATCCAGAACACCCTGGGCCACCGGGCTTGTGTTCCGCTGAAAATGTTGGACCTCAAAATCAAACGTGCCAGCGGCAGCTCAATGTTCAATGCTGCTTGTCCTCTGAAATGATGGAAACACACTCGCCCGGGGCATCCCAGATGCTTGCAGCAGAACCCTGAAACAAGGACACCATTTGTTGCGAAAGAATGGCAAACCAAACCTGCTCAAAGGGCTAAAGTCCATGATCAGCATATACCTGGACCTGTTCAAACCCGAATGCTATCAATCCTATGAAAAAACCTGCTTTCGAACTAAACCTTCGAAACATATTTGCTGTGCCACAGAAATGCCCTCATTCAGGAACCATATCAAACCGTGTCAAACCATGTCAAACTAAGCTAAACAACATCAAGCCACATCAAACTATCAAACCATACTAAACATCACTAAACAAACACTACATCACATTACTAAACCATATTTTTCTCCGTATGAAATTCCATCAGCCCCCACCGTCAGCCGATGTGAAACAGACATCCCTTGGAGCGCCCGGCGTCAGGGCCGCCGTGAAGCTGCGACCCGTTCCGGCCAACGAGTTCCATGCCAGCAACAGCAGCAGGAAGCAGGCTGCCCAAGGGGCCCAAGGGTCCCAACGGGATGGGATGACCAGAAACACAGGGTAAAACATGGTAAAACTCACCACAAAGCATAGTTTTAATATGTTTTAATATGTTTCAATTAGCTTTTCTGATATATATATATATATTTTTTAAATGTATAACTAGGAACACGGCCTTTATCTGGCCGTGGTGTTTTTGTGATCAACGGGGTGTCATGGATGATGTTTGATGTGGTCGTGCCAATAAGATTTTGGTTGATGTGATTTCAAAGGCGAAAAACCCGTGATTCTGGTGCATAAAATCAAAATCTAGCGTTTCGCCTAGGCGAAACTATCATTTTTGATGTTTCTCAGAACTCCCCAACTAATTCGACCTGGATTGTTTTGATGTGAGTTCAAAGACAAGAAACCCTCTTATTCTGGTGCAGGAAATGAAAAAACAAGTATTTGGCCTAGGCGAAAACGCATTTTTTTGTAATTCCACATGTTATGTATTGATGAACGTTAACACATGCCCCACCCCACCCCACCCCACCCATGTCTACACGCATATAACGGCACACACAGACACGAGTCCACTGACCTAGCAAGTTCACTTTGAACGTTAACACATGCCCCACCCCACCCCACCCCCCCACCCCACCCCACCCCCCCAATGTGCACGAAAACGCACGGCCAGATAAAGGCCGTGCTCCAACTATATATACATATTATTATTATAACATGTGTTATGGCGTTATGGAAATATGTATCATCGAAGGAAGTTTAGAAGTTAAACTTCCGACAATATGGACAGATGAAAAGCAGAGGTGCGAAGAGCCAGACGGGAGCAGAGTCAGAGGGGAGAAAAGTCAGAAGATAAAAGATCAGAAGAAGATGCAGGTGTGCGAAAAGGTAGGAAAGTTGCGAAACACTGCGTTTTTCCGATGTTTTGTGGCTCCGGAGGGTCGAAAAGTAGGCTCGCTAAAGCGGCGGGTGCGGAGACATCTGGGGAGATGAGAAATGAAAAGTTGCACGCCGTTGTGGCGAGAAGCAGATTTTGAAGTGAAAAGGTGCAAAACACCTGGGTCTCGGAGCACTTTTGGAAGTTGCGATGTCGAAAAAGTGCGCGCCGTTGTGGCGAGAAGCACATTTCGAAGTGAACATGTACAAAACACCTGGGTCTCGGAGCACTTTTGGAAGTTGCGATGTCGAAAAAGTGCACGCCGTTGTGGCGCGAAGCACATTTCGAAGTGAACATGTACAAAACACCTCAGTGTCGGACCACTTTTGGAAGTTGCGATGTCGAAAAAGTGCACGCCGTTGTGGCGCGAAGCACATTTCGAAGTGAACATGTACAAAACACCTCAGTGTCGGACCACTTTTGGAGGTTGAGATGTCGAAAAAGTGCACGCTGTTGTGGCCCGAAGCACATTTCGAAATCAAAAGTGCAAACAAACTGAGGGGTACGGAACACTTTTGGACGTTCAGATGTCGTTTTGCATGGTAGGCGCAAGGGATTGTGCACCTTGTCAAAAGTGAGCAAAACGTGAGGGTTTTGTAGCAATGTCAACTACAACCACCACTACACTACACTACGCTACAACTACAACTACACCTTCACTACATTCCAATACACTACACTCGACTACACTACACTGCACTCAATTACACTCAATTACACTACACTACACTACATTACACTACACTCCACTACACTACACTACCTTCGACACACTTCACTACATTACACTACACCGGACCACACTACACTACACTACACTACACTCCACAACACTACAACTACAACTACAACTACACAACTACACTCCACTACACTCCACTACACTAAATTAAACTACACTACACTACATTACACTACACTACACTCCACTACACTGCACTACACTACATTACACTACATCTTCCACTACACTTCACTACATTACACTACACTACACTCCACTACACTACAGCTACAACTACCACTACACAACTACACTCCACTACACTACACTAAATTACACTACACTACAGCTACAACTACCACTACACAACTACACTCCACTACACTCCACTACACTACACTAAATTACACTACACTACACTACACTACACTGCACTACACTACACTATACTACGCTCCACTAGACTACACTACATTACACTACACTACGCTACCTTCCACTACACTACAACTACAACTACGACTACACAACTACACTCCACGACACTCCACTACACTAAATTACACTACACTACATTACACTATACACACTACACTACACTACATTCCACTACACTCCACTACACTACACTCCATTACACTACACTACATTACGCTGAATTCTGAATGACACTGCACCACAGATAGACAGGTAGACAGACAGACAGACAGGATAGATAGATAGATAGATAGACAGATAGATAGATAGATAGGTAATTAGATGAGGGAGAGAGAGATAGATAGATCGATAGGTAGATACATAGAAGATAGGTTGGTAGGTAGGTAGATAGTCAGAGCTCAAGCACCTTTCGGTCCATCAGTGGATTCGCTCTGCCATCCCTGATTCACAACAACCAATCTCTCTCCTATAGTTTCCTATTTTTGAAACTTCCGCCACCGCCTTGTGCGGTACTACTGGTATATTATGGAATTATCATGAGTTACATTTTCACTCATTTTGATTCATGATGTCTGCATAGCGTGAGATCGTCTGTGAAGGTGCTGCAAGTGGCTCTGTTGCGGGTGCAAACCGAATGTACAGATTGCAGGAAGGGCTTGGGAAAGCACACATTTACAACAAAAAGTATATAACAGAATGTAACAAGCAGTAGGTTGGACATGGTTGGACAGGGATACAGTAGTGGCAGTGGATCTGCAGTCGGCACAACGGTGGCATCTGCGCTTCGCCTAAGGAGAGGAGAAAGCGAATGGTGTAGAAGTCTTTCGCCTCAGTCTGTCTCGTTGATCCTTTGACATGCCCTTCTGACTGACTCGAACACAGTTGATCTCAGAAATGGCAGGTGTGCCAAGCCCTTACAGTCAGCCCAGAGCTGGAATGATTGCTCAACTTTTTTGTTAAACACGTATACTTAAAATATGTCTCCAATGTATTTCCAATATGTTGCAAGTGTTTCCGTCGCCAAGAACATTCTTGAGATGTTAGTAATATGAGTGGCGGACAAAATTACTTACTACTCGCAAAGGACATGGCAAAAGTAGGTGGTCCCATCAGTTGTGAAGGTTTGTACTGTACTTCCATGCTGTGTAAAAATAGGGTATCGGCAAGTGGGTGGTCCCCTATCAGATGTGAAGGTTTCCACACAAATTTGAACATGCCAAGTCCACTCCTTCCATCCCTACCCCTCTAGAGGGGGAGGGCGGGGGGACAAAACCAACCTGTCGAATTCCACTTTTTCTTGCTTGGAAACCCTGGGATAGTGATCCAACCCCTCAAATGGAGTTGTAAAGTAACATTTCTTAACAAGCCTTGGGCACTGGTTAGAAAATACTTGCGCTTAGCTCCTCCGGAGCTAAGCGCAAGTATGACGACAGCAGCGCAATTTTTGGAGGGATGCCATCCCTACACATGTGCTGCTTCAGTCTGATATGTGCTTGGCTCGCGCAAGTACTTAATTTTCATCTGCTTGCCAATGACATGGAATGATGAGGAATATTGATCATTGAGAAAGCATGATTGCAAAAATGGAATTTTAAAATGAAATTTCAGTACGACCCCCCGACCCTCAAATTCCATGTTTAAGAGGGTAGGGATCTCCTTCCTACTACTTTAGTCTTCCGCTAATTTTGTCGGTTACCCTTATGGGTATCAATCGATCGTATATGTTGCGTGGAACTGGGATGAACTGGGGGTGGTTTGCCTACCAGCACCTAAATCCCTTGGTCGCAGCAATGTGCCAGAAATAACTTGAATAGAATGGTTTCTACGGTTGGTTCCAGGGGTCAAGTGCTCTGCTTGCAACTGAAGCCTATCAAATGCGCATCCCATTGGGCCCATTAAAACTCATTATCAAATGTCCGGCTCAAGCCCTGCCCTTCTGGGGTACAAGACAGGCTTTCTTAACTCAGCACTGGTAATGACCTGCACAAGGGGGTGGCAGTACTTGACCTCGCAAAACTTGAGCCAGATTTCCAAGTCGATTGAAAATAAAAACATCTACCTCCACCATGCCACGTACCGAAGGCGCTTAGTTGCGAGGCGACAACCAGGTCTCGGAGACTTTGCAATATTGGTTAAGCAATCTCTGCGACCTAAGGCCACGAGAAATATCACCCTATCAAGGGGTATTCTTCCTCCCCTCAATTTTATATAGTCAAATTTGCTGCCCTCCTTTACCCGCCAGTAATTTAAGAAATGATATGGAAACCATGATCATTTTGCTCGATGATTTGCCATGATTTACCTATTAAAAAATGGTGATTTTCCAAATGCAAACTCTTACGTTACCACACGGTAATATCCAATATTCCATTTTTATACATCCCATTAATATCCCATTCATATTCTAACATCCTATAACATTCCATCGTATCCCCATTTATGAATGTTTTTTTCCCTTAACCTACCAGCAGTGACCTACCAGACTGGTACCATTGGTGTCCCCAGCTGCACCTGTGCCCGAGCTGTGCTCAAACGGTCCTTCCACCAAGCCTGAGAAATGCCAGAGGTATACGGTATACCCCAAAATGGCATTTATTTTGCGGGGAAAATGATGGAAACGTGTGGGAGGCATGGGAACAACAATAGGAAAACTATGGGAAACATATAAGAAACTAATCAAACCAAGGGAACACTATGGGAAAGATGGGAAACAAACTGTCGTAAAATGTTGGAACATTGATACATATACTGCCATTGAGTCATTGGAGTTCCGGGTGCCGCATTTTCAAACAAACCCACAAATCAAAAGCCACAAATTGTGATCTTAGCGTAACGCTCGGCAAATCTGAGACTCCCAGGCGGACCACGACTCCTTCCGAGTCCCAAGATATCCCAAGTCTGCAGCCCTTGTGGAAAGTTCTGAATCTTGGGTAGACAGACTGGTATAGACCCTGGTAGACAAGACCCCAAACACAAATGTAACTGCTGAGAGCTGGAAATTCCAGTTTATGCGCAAACATGATTGTCATTGATTGTCCACAGCATTTGTCCCGAACCTTTGGAGAATCTCCGACATGTTTCATTATAGGATATATAGCTATATTCATTTGCAGTATCTCATTTGACGTTGTTAATTCTGTTGGAGATTTTGTGGTCAATGTGTCTGCATCAGACTTTCCCTGAGTGTGGTCCTGAGCAACAGAAGAAATTGAAGAAGATGAGCCCTGGCACAGTGACAGCACTTTTCCACTGACTTGCAATGACTACAATGTCTGACACATTTGTACAGATCCTCCACTTGTTGGACGATATTGTGCTGCCTATGCATCCCCCGAGTTTGCAAGTGCAAGGTTCGGGTATCCCAAAACGCTTGAGGCATTTGGATGCATTTGAGTCTTTGGCGTGGGTTATGTGATGAAGTTCAGTGTTTGCACGAATTTGTGGCAAAGAAGAGCTTGCTATACGTTTCGGGTTGCAACGCCTAGTAGTCTGTACTGTAGATGTCTGTAGCATCTCTGCTCGAAATACTGTTGACATTGTTTGAAATCTGTTGACTTCTGTTGACTCATGGGCATTCAGTTGATTTTGATGCACCTCTGCTGCGACGCTGCCGATGCCGCTTTCAGCAGCCTCCGACGGCGTCCAATCGCGTCTCAAGTGTCAAGGAAACTTAGGTATCGTATGGACATATCAAAATTGAACCTCAAGAATGGCAGAATAGAAAATCGTTAAGCGCACAAGTCACAAGACAATCGCGTTCAGCTGCACGTTTTCTCTCGAAATCTGGCCCACAGCTCTGTAGACCGCCCTTGCAAGCGCTTCTTTCACCTGTGGTGTAGCCGTGCTGCATGGAATAACACTTATTGAATTTAATTAATACAATCTAAAATCGTACAATACGAATGAGATCCAGTAGCATTTCCCAACTTTTCTTCACATGGTGAATGTTTCAGTCCCAGTGTGTTCCAAGCCATTGGCGCTTTAGATTTTTTTTGCATCTTTTTGCCTCGATGATTTCAGGGACAGAATTAAGCAACCGTGCTTTCAAACAGCATGATGATGATGAGGATGATGATGATGATGATGATGATCATGATGATGATGACGATGATGATGATGATGCCTCTGAGCCTATGATTGGAAGCCAGCGCTCTTCAGCATGTTCAACTCTATCCGCAATTTTTCTATCAGGGGAGTGCATGAAACACAAGCGTTGAAGGGTGAGGGGTATGCATCGAGTACCTGGGCTTCAAATGACACCGGCCTCATGCCAACTCAGCTTCGTTGCGCCACAGTCTCTCGCAGCAACTTCCGCCAGTCACGCCAGTCCTGCACTACTAGGCTTGACCGGCTTGACCGGCTTGACCTATGGGTAAGCTGAACGGTGCACAGAGACTTGCACAGTGAATTGTATTGGTAGAGCTCCGGAAACCTTGCTGAAGATATCTGAAGATCATGAATCACGTGAATCCTATAGTGACGTGAACGGTCGGAGCCGAATCATTCGGGAAAACCTGGGAGCCAAAGTTTGTGTTGCGTCAAAGAACCCATTTGTTCCTGTCTCTTGATTCTGTTCCCATGGTTAAGAACAAATCCAACCCCGTTTCAGCGCAGTTTTAAAATCATGATTGTTTGTCTGCAGAGCATTGGAGTTTGGCTCCTGGTAGACAACTGCCAGTTGCAAGCGCGGAGACCAGCGCCGCAATTGCGTGAACGCACCAACGCAACTCAGACAAGGCGTATGTGGGACCACCAATTCCACCTGCAAGAGGGCCAGCATCCCAGAACACAATAGATTGTCTCACAACCCCAAACTGTTTGTATATTATGTAAAATATGTGTGTTTATTGTATGTTTCTTTTTCTGAATCTGCGTTTGGAAAATCAATGTTCCAACGAAGACTTCGGAATGAATGAACTGTTTAGTATGGTTTGTTCTCCTTCCTTCTATGGCACGTCTATGCACTTTTCTGAAACAAGGTCCAGTAGATGTGTAATTTTCACACAATTTCACGACAAGGCCTGGCCCTCCAAATTCTCCCAGAGCTTTGGATGCCACCTGGCACAGCGGTAACGTTCACCTACCATGGTCCTGATTTCTGGATGGAATGTCCCAATATCTCCCCTTTCAAAACATGCCCAGTCAAGTTTTTTTTTCTCCCCAAATAGCGATAGCTTGGGGTTGTTAACTCTAAGGGCGGATGCGGCGGCCGGCCTGGGCGGGGTGCGTCCCGGTGTCCCGGTGGTACTTCGGTGGTGTCTCGGTCATGTCCCGTCCGGTGGTGTCTCGGTGGTGTCTCGCTGGTTTCTTGGTGTTTCTTGGTGGTTTTTCGGTGGTGTCTTGGTGGTGTCTTGGTGGTTTCTCGGTGGTGTCTCGGTCGTGTCCCGGCCGGTGGTGTCTCGGTGGTGTCTCGCTGGTTTCTTGGTGTTTCTTGATGGTTTTTCGGTCGTGTCTTGGTGGTGTCTTGGTGGTTTCTCGGTGGTGCCTCGGTGGTGTCTCGGTGGTGCCTCGGTGGTGTCTCGGTGGTGTCTCGGTGGTTTCTTGGTGGTTTTTCGGTCGTGTCTTGGTGGTGTCTTGCTGGTCTCTTGCTCGTCTCTTGCTAGTCTCCTGCCGGATTCTTGCTGGTCTCTTGCTGGTTTCTTCCTGGTTTCTTGCTGGTCTCTTGCTGGTCTCTAGTCTCTCGCCGGTCTCTCGCTGGTCTCTCGGTCGTGTCTTGGCGCACCATGCTCCCGTTTTGCTGTGGTGCAGTGTGTTCATTGATTGATGCTTTTGCTTTGACTGTTTCACAGGCAACGCTGTGAGCCAGCCATGTTTTTCCCCAATAGCGATAGCTTGGGGTTGTTTACTCTAAAGGCGGACGGGCGCTGTCGGGTTCACAGTGGTGGTGTCTCGGTGGTGTCTCAGTTGTCCCGGCCGGTGGTGTCTCGGTGGTGTGTCGGTGGCATCTTGGTGGTGTCTCGGTCGTGTCTGAGTGGAATCTGGGTAGTATCTGGGTGGTGTCTTGGTGGCATCTTGGTGGTGCCTCTGTGGTGTTTTGGTGCTGTCTCGATAATGTCTTGGTATGTCTTGGTGGTGTTTTGTTGCTGTCTCGATAATGTCTCGGTGGTGTCTCGGTGGTGTCTTGGTGGTGTCGCGATAATGTCTCGATGGTGTTTTGGTAGCGTTTCGGCGGTGTCTGTCTCGGTGGTGTCTCGGTCGTGCCTTGGCGGTCGTGCCTTGGCGGAGGTGTCTGGTTGGTGCCTTGGTGGCTCGATTGCTGATGATGACGATGATGACGGTGATGACGACGATGATGACGACGACGACGATGATCATGATGATGATGATGACGACGACGATGATGATGGTGATGGTGATGGTGACGGCGATGGTGACGGTGATGGTGGATGGTAACGGTGACGATGACGATGACGACAACATTGCGTTTGCAGGTTTGGGGGTTGGGTTGAAGCGGCGGGATGGATGTTGACGCATGTTAGGAACAACGTACTTACTATGATGCTTCTCTGAAAACAACTACATTGCGAACGTTCCTTGATGCCATGCAGCAACCACGGCCGTGGGCTGCTCACCTCACTAGAGGAGTTGATGTACTTACTGCATGCTACGCTGGCACCGAGGCTCTCGCGCACATGTATTAAAAGAAAAAATATTAGCATTAAAAAGGGAAAGAAGGAGGGAGGGAGGGAAGAAAGGAAGGACGGCAGGAAGAAAGAAACAAAGGCCTAGCTCCAAAATGCTGCGCGTGCACCTTCCATTTCTTAACACATGTCTTTCAAAGAGCTGCAAGTCCCACGCAATTTACAAATGCTGGTTTCAAAATGTGGCGAACACTGTGCAGTTTACTGTACAGTACAGATTTTAGCCGCAACACGCTACAAACACCATGCAACTATGTGCAATATATGTGCACTGTGCAGATGATACTTTCAACATGTTGCAAATACCATTCCGCTTGCAGCTTCGATCTTCAGAAAGCCGCAAAATAGCATCCAATTTACAGATGCCAGTTCAAAATGCTGCAGGTGCCATGCGGTTTAATTACAAGTGATATGATGCGCTAAATTTTGCCCCGGTATGCTGCTGTGCAAGTGATCTTTTCTGGTTTCGACATCTGCAAGCATTTTACAGTGTACACATTTTTGCTTCGAAGCGCTGTAAAATCATAACGCGCTTCTCAGATATCATTCCAAATCTTGCAAAAGTCATGCAATTTGCAGATGTTAGCTTCGCGCTACTGCAAATATTGCGCGATGGCAAAGTTCCGAGCAGCTGTTTGGCTTTTGCCTTCACGGGGCGCAGCCTGTCGGCCAGGGTTTGGGCCGCAGAAAAAGCCATGTCATCTCGTTGGGATCCATTCTGGTCCATTCTACGCAATGGGGACACATACAATCAGGGGCTGGACCCTTTTGCTACACGTACCAATTTGTTGGTGGATTTCAAACAGAAGAACATGAATGACCATGATTTTCATCATCAGAAGTTCACTGCACAGGGGTATCAGATGCGACCACAGGGGGCCTCAACAGAACAAGCACGATATGGAATTTTTCCACCAAGTCCCGACACATGCATGAGTTCCTTGCCAGAGACGTTTTCCATAGCAGCTGAGATGAAGCCATTCTTCCAGCCAGGAAAGGTGCTGATTTGGAATATCAAACAGACATACCCATGCTCCACATGTCACTGGGAAATTGATGAGTTTTCCAAGATGTTTTCTTTTGATGCGCATAGGCCAGGACCTTTACGTATTTTGGAAATGTTTGCAGGAGGAATTGGGGGCTGGTCTTTTGCATCCAAGCTCATTCAGCAAGAAACCGGCATGCCTATCCAAACCATCAGTGTGGAACATGATGTCAGAGCCGCTGCAAACTTTGCAGCCACCCACCGTGCACAGATGATTTCAGGAAAAGCCCAGATTAGCACAGATTTGTTTGCATCCGGCCTTGACACCATCATTTGTGCAGACATCCGTGATCCCGAATGGCAGGTGCCAGTCTCCTACTGGAGACCTGATGTCCTTGTCATGAGTCCTCCGTGTCCTCCATGGTCGAAGGCAGGTGCTGAACAAGGTTTAGGAGATGAACGTGGCCTCCTGTTTTCTGAAGCCATAGGTATTGCAAAAATGCTCCGTCCTAAGGTTTTAGTGATTGAGCAAGTAGCGGGGTTTCCCATTCACAAGGATGCCAAGTACATCATGAATCAGATCCAAGCAGCCGGATATCGCCTCCACTGGACCAGAACAGTAGATGCATCCGAACAGTGTGCCTCAACCAGATTCCGATGGCTCTGCATTGCACTTCTCATGCACGACCCACATGTTCGCCCAGTGTCATTTCAACCATGGCAGAAAAGGGATCAAGTGACACCGCAGTCAGTTGGTAGCATCATTGCATGGTCTCAAGAGATGTTGAATGATCTCCAGGTGACAGGAGAAGCACTCAAGCTGGCCAAGCAACCACACATGTTGCCACAGTCCATGAAGTCAAGCTGCACCCAGGATGTCCTTTCCATGCGTTGTTACACAGGAGACACCAAGCTGCCCACCTTCATGGCTCAGTACGGTAGGCAGCACTGCCTGGCATCCGACAGCCTGGCAACCAAGGGATATATGGGGCATTTTCACCGCCCAAACTGCATGCCACCCAGGTATTGGCACCCAATTGAAGTAGGCCTACATCATGTGATGCCTGCAGGACTGGTTTTGCCCTCAGACAAAGAACAGGCATGGCTGTACACAGGTAACATGATCACGCCAGCACATGCGATGCTCGCACTTGCCAACGCCATCAACTGCATTGCACAGAGATACACAAGCCTGAATGTACAGAATCTGATTGACAAAATTTG